ACTTGGCCGTCAGGCTTGGCTCGGACATCGCTCTAGGCCTGGCTCGATGGTGAGTCATCCACGGGTGGAGCATCCAAACAAAACAAGACAACGAAGGACAGCGCGTTGGGAATCCCTATCCAACGACCCGAAACGGTGAAACGTCTTTTCAAGTGAAACATTCTCTTGGGCCGCCTTTTCCACCCACCCACCCACCCACACACACTCGGGACATGCGCACTGAATTGAAAGCCACTTGCCACACGCCCACCTAGGTAAAAGGCCTAAGAAGTCAGGGTCGAAGTATGTAAGACGTCTTGGCCATGAACCTGAAAAGCCCTCAAATTCCAACGCCATGAACTCAAAGAGGCCAACGAGAACACGAGCGGCGAGCATTTGTCTGCAGAACTCAAAACAGGCGCAAAAGCTGGCAATCTTGTTGTAGTTAAAAAGGGGCTGAATGGGACATGAAAAGGCATTGTTGAAGGAGGTACATCGTCAGGCGTCCCTCATGATATCCTAGGAACGTATGAGGAGCTTCGTTGGATGGAGCCTCACAGGTCCTCTCCACCCCCCTGCTTGTTAGTAGATATTGCGTACGGAACTGAATGCCACATGCCACACGCCCACCTAGGTATGAAAGCCTAAGAAGTCAGGTTAAAGGTGTGTAAGACGGTATGACCATAAACCTAAAAGTCTTCACATCCAAAGTTCCAAGTCGCAAAGCTCCAAAGTCAAAAGCGTGACTGCCGATTCAAACAGGTGCGATGGCCGAAAATTGTTGTTCTAGTCAAAAGCAGTTGCAAACAGGCTCCGCGATCGCTATGGCTTTGGGCGGTAATCGGGAGATGGTTTACCTCTGTCATTATAATTTATAATTGGTGGGGGTAGCAGCCCGGGGTAGCAGTAAGTTTGATTCTGAAGGATTTCAGAAAGTACATACAACCTCTTCAAATCGTCAATCCCAAAAGTACCAAATGCGTTTCTTAAAGATTTTTGCTTAAACAACGACAATCTGCCTTTCCTCAAGTTTGAGTGGCCTTCTTGATGTCTGAGAGAGTGAGACTGAGCTATCAAGAGGGAAATGTTCCACAAAACAACAGTGTTTTTCTTACAATCCAATTCTCGTCAACGGTGCTTTGTTCACCTTCATGAATTCCTTGCGTGTTCTCGGCATTTGCCTATGGAGTTGAAATATTCAAGTGGTTGAAACGTAGGATTGGCTTGCCATGTACTTTTTTGGATTCGAACTTCGAACCATTTAGCTGGTGCAGGTCATCGCCAGTGCAGCGTGGCAAATTCTTGGAATCATTGCTGATGCAGTATTGAGACATGTATCCTTCGCAAGCTGAGTAGCTTGTGAGGAACGTCAGTTGATCCTTTTGTCCTTCTCATCTGCAAATTGAGAATAGAATAATGGTTGTGTTGCTTCAGTCACTCCATAACGAAAGCACAAAACTCTTGCTGATGTTTGGCCTTTGTATTTCTGCATTTCTTCTGAGTCAAAGAAAGTGTTGTGGCTCGTATGTTTGTGGGCCACACAAACCTTTAAGGACCCCAGGACCCCCAAGGAGTCCAAAAAGAGGGAAGACAACTGAGGCTTGCGCGCAACGTCGAAGGTCTTCAATGAGGGCAGAAAAGCTCACAATGGCTGCAGCAAAGCCAGCAGTTCAAATAAGCAGTCGTGTAACCTACGAAAACATTTAAAAAATGCCTTTGCTTGGTTCCTCAACAGTCACCTGTGTTAAGCTGTTAAGCATTGGATTCACTGACCAGGCGCATCGTTCTATCTGACGCGGCGGTGTCACTGCTTTGACGTCTTCGAATCTAAACCGCTAGGCCGATCGGCTTCGGGTCTGCTGATCAGGTTCGCATCAGATCTTGAGACCCTCAGGCATCCACGTCTTTGCTCTCTGGCAAAGCTGTTTCGACCTCAGAACAAACCCACGCTAATCCTGGATAGTTCCCAAAGATAGTTTCCAGAAAAGAGGCCAGAGTCGGGGCAGGCGGAAACAAATAGAATCATATAAAGGGGCATTTAATAACCCATACCAATTGCTTGGAGGTTTGAAACAACGCAAGTATGTGAAAAAAATACTCTCACAACTCTGAAAATGTTCGCCTCATGAGTGATCTTGAAAACTCCGGCAGCAGCAACACCACCAAGAAGTTCGAGCAGGGTGTAGATCAAAGCCTGCCCACAATAGAAGGGTGGACCACCAGTGCTCAGTAAGTAAGTAACCAATAGTTCTCCAGAAAAGAACTAGTGTTGCATGTGTCATGATGCACCAAAAAAGGGTATGTGCAATGCCTGTGTGCGTGTTCAGCTTCCTGCTCAATGTCTTGGAAGTCACAAGGGCCAGGTCTGAGATGGCCACATCCCATGCCCTAAAAGATAGGTGGCTATGAGTCAAGACCCAGACCCAGCCCCCCCAAACCATTGGATGAAGTGACAATGTCTGGCAGTCTCTTCACCTTCAGGGGGTCAATATGAGTCAATATCGACGCGTTGGGGTCGCTACGCAGGGCAAAAATCTGTTGTCAATTGTAGCAAGTCTGGGTAGAGTTGAGTACCTTTTCTTGGGAGGTGTCCATGTTCCAAATTTGAAAGAGAAAAACTACATAGACCCCCAACAGTTTCAGCATTATTCTTTGGCGTCCACTCCTTTTTCTTAAAAAAGAACCCAGTAAACTGTTTGGGGAATAAGAAACAAACTGACGTCAAAAGTTTCCCCGAGTGGTGTTGAAGTTTTGCGATTGATTGGGATACAGAGTCATTGTGGTGAAGAAGAATGATGATCTCATGATGCTGACGGTGTGGTGGGATATTTCTGTGATGATAAGCATCTTCAAGCTTGGAGTCTACGAAGAATCTTGCAAAAAATATGCTCGACGAACAAAGAAGGTGGTTCTCTGAGCCAGTCCTAAAACAGGTTGAAGAATCCAGTCCGGTCCAAGGGGCACAAATGACAGCACTTTCTTGGACGCATCACAAATCGGGGGTGACCTGTGACTGTTTGCATCACGTTTAATTACGGCACATTGTTGATTTGAACATTCACAGTCTGCAGCTCGTATTGTCTAGAGTCTAGAGCAATCAAACTAGGAGTAGCATCACTATCGCATCGCCATCAAAGATCTTTCAGCGAATTCGGCCAAACCTCTATGGATAATCACAAAGCCGATGCGAGCTCAGCACTCCAGTGATGCCCAAAATCTTGCCTTGTAGAAGAGGCCACCGTTGATGAGGTTTGCTGTGGCAATGCCGAACCTTTCTTGTGCGCAAGACACATGGAGATAGCAGAAATAAACAAAACGTTGCACTAAGTTAGGTTCAAAAACAAAGAATTTAGGACCTGAAAGTACTGAGTCAGTACTGAGGTACTCAAAAAATATTGCAAAAATGTCACAATTCCTCCGAGTCTCGATACTGCGGGGTTCAAGGATCCACCT